GCGGAGATGGGTGAAGGTTCGAGAGGGTCTACAAGAGGATCAACGTACATCCCCATCCCCATTCCCATATTCACTCCAGCACCAACACCAACGTTCCCGCTCAAATCAGTCGTACACGTCAAACCAGACGACACCACCGAGGTCTGAGGTTGGCTCTGAAACCCAAAAGCTGGGTTAAACTCTACACCTGCAACGGCGGCGGAGGCACCATTAAAAGAAGCCTCGGAAGAAGCATCCGAGCACATCAAAGGCGGTGTAGCAGAGTGAACCGAGGAAGAAGAAGCAGACGTCGGACCTGCCAATCCCCCAAAAGTAAAATTAGGGTTCCAACCAGCCATCGCGGAAGGGTCGAAATCGAGCGCGTCCATGTCCTCTTGGTTCATCTCCGGTTCCATGTTTTGGGTTGTCTGGTCGGTGTTTTGGGTTTGGTTCCAGACGTCGTTACCCCACATGTTCATACCCGAATCCTGCCCGAGTCCACTGAAAGCGTTCGAGTTGTGGTATTGGGAAGCTAGACAAGGCTGCGCAGATGAAGCTCGGCGTTGTCCGAGGAGACTACGACCTGTGAGTGAGACGCGGTTGCTTCCCCATCCGCCTCCTACGCCGGTAAAGTATTGGCCGAAAGAGGGACGAGCAGAGTAAACACCATTCGAAACACCGCTGGAAGAGAGCGCGGAAGGTGTTGGGGAAGGAGGAGGCATTGAACCGGAGCTGTGACCGTGGGCCAAGGCAGAAGGGAGAGAAGGGAGAGCGATTCCGTTTCCGTTTCCGGGTTCTGGCGAAGTGCTGGTGCCCCAGTTGGAGTTGGTAAAGGGCGTGTAGGCATCGCTGTTGGTGTTTTGGGTGTAGAAACCATCTTGGGCGTACGAGCCTTGCTGTATCTGGTCGAAATCGCCAAAGAAGCCTCCAAAGTGCTGCTGAGGATAATAGCCCACCGCGCACGGATGCTGATGTTGCTGCTGGAACTGCATGCCCTGGTGATGATGAACGAACTCATCAGGAAGAGGAACGGATGAAGACCGTCGGTGGCCGAGCATCGACTTGTGCTTTGTCTGAGCACGAGTTTCGGGTTTGACTTTGACCGAAGCAGCCAAAGTAGCCGCGATATGGTCCTTCTCATCCTTGTCCTCCTTCTCCGCGTTGACCTTGAGAGACACGTATCCTCTCTCCTTTTCCCATCTCTCGACGTGATCCTCGAGGTATCCGCCTTGGGGTTCGACTGCCGCTGGAGTGGGAAGACCCAAGTCGGAAGAAGTAGGCTTTTTGGTGATTCCTTGGACGAGACAATTGATAATAAACTCTTGCCTCTGTTCCCTAAGCGTCGCATAAGCGAATCGATACGAGGAAGGGTGATAAGTAGACGAAGGAGCGTTTTCGATGGTAAGAGGGACGTTAGAGGCAGGTTTCATCTTGCCCAGAGACGAGCTAGCCGCGGCCGGTGTAGGCGCCTTTCTCTTCAACTTGTTTGACGAAAAGGACGGATCGTATTCAGCGTCATCGCCGTTATCAGAGAACGCCTCGAGGTCATCAAATTCTTCCTGTGCCGATTTGGCTGCAGCCTCGGCGAGAGCCTTTTTCCGTTTCTTGTGAACAGGACGGAACTTGTAGTCGGGATAACGCTCCTTGTGGGCTTGCTTTTCCTTGCGAGCCAAGACCTCCCAGTGTTGCTTGTCTTTGGGAGGGAGAGAGCGCCAGCAAGAGCCTACCGAAAACGGGCCGAGTTAGCACCGCGGTCATAGGAAGGAAGAAGAAGCACGTACCAATAATCTTACTCAAACTCCCGTGGTTTGTTTCTATACTTCCCGGCACATGCTTCTGCCTGACAAAATCCGCTCTAAACAACATGAACGCGTTTGGGGGACGCGGGATGTAGCCCTGACTAGGTCTCTTGCCCGGCGGCCGGCGTTTACGCGTCGGACCCGTCGAGGGTGCTAGTGAAGGAGGAAAGAGAGTAGGAACGGGAGCAGACTCTAAACAAGGCTCGGGGGTTGTGGTGGATGAGGAAGGGAACCCAGCAAGAGCGAGCTGGTCTAGCTGGGCATCCTGCTGTTCTTGGGAGACGTATGTGGTAGGGGTGACATTAGGATAGAAGGTAAGTCTAGCGGGAGTAGGGACCTGGGTGTACTTTGCTTTTGTTATCTTTGCAATAGAAGAACGTCTGCGAGACTGCAAGTGTGTGAGGGTGTGTCTTGTAGGAGACATAATGGAAAAAGACAAGGTGTTATTGTCTTTTCGTCTCTGCTGACCCAAAGAGAAAGAACAAAAGACGAAATGATTCTTATTGTTCTCCCATCCTCTTATAAGACACGTCTCCCATTTTGCTTGACTGAACTCGCCCCAATTTCGCTAACGTGTTGATCATCAGAAAAATCTACTGGTCCCCGGCCACCGCATGTACGTAAAATCTCTCATCACCTCAACCAACAACCCATCTCTCCGTCGTATGGAGACTGTCTGTATCTGTCAGTTCTCAGATGGAGGCAGTTTCCCCATGATCTGCGTCGCTCCAAAACACCCTCTGTCCCGCTCACCATCACCCGCTCTCTTGCTCTACTGCTTTCGGGGTCCCTCCCACGATGACCCAAACCCGCCAACGTGATCTTTCCAAATCCATCTACTTACTTGTTCCCCCAATTCGGACGGTCGTTTGTACACTTCCTTTTCTGGCGCTTGTCACGGATTCGGAAGTGCTTGTAAACCTAGTCATATGCCCCCGCGAACGTGAACTAAATGATATTGATTAAAATTCATCCCGCCACTGTAATATTGCTTCTCGAACTTTGTACCCCGTGTCCTTGTTCTCTATTTGCCCGAGGGTTTATACGTGCATGAATACACGGTTAGGGAAGGAGAATACCTTGTTCCCGACCTTCTTCCTTTTCGAGAACAAGAACAGGGTACTCTCAGGCTCGACGCGTAGTCCTTTGCAATTTCTCACCGAATTACGCCATGTTTTCTCTATGATTTTTTTCATTCCGCCGTCATCGCAATCTCACCTCATATCTCGTACGCCCCCGTCGATTTATCGACATCCAATCATTATCCCCGCTCAACGTTGGCAACGAGTTACCCGTCCATTCAAGTACAAGCACGTCTGTAAAAGCGTCGGGCGATAAATGCCCTCTTTTTTTTCTCAAATCAATCTACCCATACCCAGTGTAGAATAAGAATATACGATCGTTTTCCTCTCCTCAACCAATGTTCAACGCTCAACGTTCATCGCCCAATGTCTACCACCGTCCGCTAGCATTGCACAAGAAAAAGTCGCCGCCGCTGTACACCCAGCAACCGTCAGTCAACTGCAAACTTTCAGTGAAAGCATTCTTGACTCGGGTAATAATGTTCCTCCCCACCGCCGCCGCTCGACAGTGCCTCTGGCTACCCTTACCCTTTGAAGGTGCCTTGAACCTTCTTCTATGTATGCATTTACATAGGCACAGTAGACAATTACTTCATGAAATCATAAGCGAACCGAAATGTGCACAATGACTCACCTCCTAACCACGATTGACAGACAGATATAGCAATTGCAATCAATTTCAACACTCGAGCCGTCCACTGTCTCCGTCTCCGTTTCCATTCTACGAGACTAGTCATCCATCGGTCATCAGAAAATCGCGAATCCGTCTTGATGCATGATGAATAGATGATTCGTTAACAGATACATACCGCCCTCGGACCCTAAATGATCATCCCAGATACCCCCTGCCCCGTTCCAACCTGTCCCCGCTCTGCCCGTCCGCTCTGTACGTCCGACAAACCCGTGCACTGGGCTTGGGCTCGGCTAAATTATAATCAAGTTTGGGTGGGTAGGTGGGTCGAGTTCGGGTCGAGTCAGGGCCCTCTATGGATCAGAATTCATCTCTTCATCATTGTTATTACTATGTATTACTTTTTTGTTTGAATTTGAACAGTTTCACTCATTGTAGTGAATATACTAGTAGCGTTCAGATTTGCTCATCCCGTCCGTACACCGAAGCTCGCCCGAACTCGGACGCGCTCGTTCTTCTGTTGAAACCCTTAAACCTTGACAATAAATACATCGTAGATGTGCATATAGATCATACCGATACCGGTGCGTATATACTATACGTATACATACATCAATCCAACGCAACGAAACGGAACGCTATGTACTATTCATCTACCAGTGTTCAGATGTTTCGAAGAAACATTCGTTCAGCATCAATCTTTAAATAAGTAAGTAAATAAATAAATGATTCCTGCAATGTCCACGGTCTCTCGGGGACGCATCACTCGGATCCTGTACATAGAGCAACATGTACGTGATGAGCGTGATCATCAGGATCGTCGATGGGGCGTTCCTATTTTGGATTGTTGAAGATGGATGGGCGGATGGATCATGAGCGTATGTTTTTGTGTATTTTAAGAAGCAGCGGGAGGCACACCGGGCAGTGTGCAAGACGAGCCCGAGACCCACATTCAAGTTATATTAAGCCACTTGACTCGGAGAGAGAAATCAATGAGTGAGTCTGAGTGTCGGCCTGGGTACTTACTTGCTTACTCGGAGTCAACTTGTTAAAAGCAGCCAACCCCGATTAAACAATTGGTTTTCAGATCAGTGCACTTTGCACACGTATGGCACTTATTGCGCCGCGCGCATTGTCATAATCAATTGACATAGCCCAAACTGTATCCGTAAGGCGGAAGGGAGGAAGGACAACTCGGTCAGTCTTAGCCTCAGTCTCAGTCCCAGCTTCATCAATTGGTTCAAGTGTACTATACCAAGTAAGTGCTCGCTTTTTGTCCATCGATCTATGTTCTAGAATCTATTTCAAGCGCGATAAGCAGTCAAATGAGTCATTTCGGGCGGGAAGCTATGCATACTTTCCTGCCGCGGAGATAACCTTTTTATCTAAAAAGTAAGTGCACGGGCGGGAGGGATCACCATAAGTAGGCCAGGGTGAAAAAAACCAAACTTCTAATTGTGTAATTGACTGACTCGATAAGCAAAACTGCAGATTGGGAGACAAGTAAAGTGACCACCGCAGGGGTCGAACCTGCAATCTCCTGATTTGTTCCAAGGCAATTGGAATCGTAGTCAGACGCGATGCCATTTCGCCAGGCGGCCAACAATGTTTAACGTAGATGTGTATCCCTGGATTTACTCACTGATATAAATACTGATATTCTTGTAAGTCATTTTTCCACAACTATAGATTAGTTTTAACAAGGTTCACCGTATATCCAGTCAAGCAATTCTGTGGAAAAAAAGATAGTCTCCAAGACAGACTCAAATCGTAGAAAAAGATTACAGTACTATATATCCAGACATAGATGCTCGAAATTATAGTCAGAAAATTAAGTGCATATATTAGAAAGTCACCAGAGGACATTGTGAACAAAATGCAGAGCATCCACACCTTTAGCACCAGGGATTGATTACTACTTTGTAATAACATATTGAAGCAATGTCTACTTGTATACAAATGTCAAATCATCAACTATTAGCTGAGAACGGGTCATTGCTTGGAGTGGAACATTGATATCATGTCCAAATTTATGTCAACAATCTAACACACCTAATCTCTCCTGCACAGACTCGAACCTTGAGTCTTGTTGTAAAAAGTAATAGAATATCATAGTACTATGCTGCCGCAAACGGGAAAAAAATAATTTCCGAAAGTTTCATCGATTTTTCACCTTTTCCGAATGTTTGAGCGTGACATGTGACCTACCTGGATTTCCGAAACTGGAATTGGACAATCCCGAAACTTTCAATGTAATGGCTGATTTTGTTTTCGAAACTCTGAATTCAACTTGTAAGTTCCGAAACTTTGCCTAAACTCCGAAACTTTGGAATTGGAGAATCCCGAAACTTTCAATGTAGTAGCTGATTTTGTTTTCGAAACTCTGAATCTGGTCCCGAAACATTAAATAGTCCTGATGCTGTAGCTTTTTAACAGGTTAAGACAACCTTATCTTATCTTTATCTTTATCTAATCTATGTGCCTGCTGGAATGGAATAAGGCTCCAACCCATTTCAATTAATTACCCATTTAATTGGTTTTATCTCATTAAAATTACTGGCTCCAACCAATTAAATTACAATTACTTGAAATTCAGTATTTAATGGTAATTGGTTTTTAATCAATTAATAACCCATTAAATTTTGTAATCAATTGGTTTTTTGTCCCAAGAAAATTGACCCAAAATCACCTTCTGAACATCAAAATCACAGAGACTATCATATAGCCAACTCTTTGCACAGATCACCTTCATTATTTCAAAAAATATTCTTCAAACCCAGTACACTGAGGCACAAGGAGGAATTTTCTGCTATTAGTGTCCCCAATCACCAGTTGATCAGGCTGAGTGACTCATCACACATAATGACAATATATTATAATCAGTTATAGTTCAATTATAACCTGGCTGAAACTATTATGACCTGTTACCTGTTATAACATAGTCTCATTTTCTCAGACAGGCTGTACAAGGGAAAGCAGAAATGATTTATAGTGGTGCTTAAAAATAACCAAACAAGGTGCCTAAGTAGACAAGACACAAAGTGGAAATTTACTAATTTGAAGGATATGACAAGCATCTACTAGCATACTTTATCTCATTGTGACAAATGTAAGTCTCTTCATGAACATAGAACTTGGAAGAGACAATAAAAATTTCCCCACTGTTTGGTTATTTTCGAGCATCACCATATTTGCAGGAAGATTGAGACAATTTACTGCACAGTACACTCATCTACCACATTTTCATGATCTAATTTTAATTTTGGAACTGCACTTCCAAATCAAATTCCCATGCAAAATTTTCTACTTCAGAATCATTATTTCAGTAGCTGCATGTGTAAGTGTGCAGTACAAAATATTCATTTTCTTCAGATTTAGTGCCAATTTCAGTTTGTCACACTTGAGTCATGTGAGGTTAGTAGAATTGTATGCTCCCTACCTTATGCCAGTCCTGTGCTGGAAGGCAAGTTGGCATGTCTAATTGTTCAGTATAACCCTCAAAAAATCATATGGAAAAACCAATTAATTACTGATTTTTAATGGGTTAACAACCCATTAACCAGTTCAAGTAGTTGTAATGGTGATTTTAATGGGATAAAACCAATTAAATGGGTAATTAATTGAAATGGGTTGGAGCCTTATTCCATTCCAGCAGGCACATAGATTAGATAAAGATAAAGATAAGATAAGGTTGTCTTAACCTGTTAAAAAGCTACAGCATCAGGACTATTTAATGTTTCGGGACCAGATTCAGAGTTTCGAAAACAAAATCAGCTACTACATTGAAAGTTTCGGGATTCTCCAATTCCAAAGTTTCGGAGTTTAGGCAAAGTTTCGGAACTTACAAGTTGAATTCAGAGTTTCGAAAACAAAATCAGCCATTACATTGAAAGTTTCGGGATTGTCCAATTCCAGTTTCGGAAATCCAGGTAGGTCACATGTCACGCTCAAACATTCGGAAAAGGTGAAAAATCGATGAAACTTTCGGAAATTATTTTTTTCCCGTTTGCGGCAGCATATAGTACCTACCAAAAAACTCCCGAGCAGCAATTCTAGATATGACGTACATATATAAGGCTCCTGAGAGGACCTGCTAATATATAACTAGTAATTACTCTCTTTCTTCATATCATAACAGATCTTGACAATTATCTGGCAACAAGTTTGCGCTGAGTAGAAAATACGGCGCTCCGCTCAAACCATGATTTAGATACTGCATGCTTTGTCTTTTCCTTCTGATCCTTGACATGGGTAACCCGACAATCATACTCAAACACATCCGGTTTCCCTCTCAACACGAACCACATTTCTCCCTGTTCCCCTTCAAGACCATTCCCACCCAGCCCAGTCGATGCTTCTTTAACAGACCAACAGACAGTAATGCTCTGAATAATGTTTCCCATCATCATCTTCCTTGATGATTATTTCCCCTGAAGAGGAAATCATCACCGAGTCAATCCGTTCCTTGGGTTGAACATCAATAACCTCATCATCAGGAATAGTGATGTGAATGCTGATAGCAGAGACCCGTCGTGTTTCAAAGCTTTTGCACAGGACCTTGGCTCGAACGAGAGTGGGATCATCAGGAGAGCTGAATTCCTCGTATTCAAGAGTGATGGCGACAAGACTATGGCCGCCATCTGCGATTTTGAAGAGGAATTTTAGAGGAGAGTCACTAAGCTTTTGGGTACTTGAATGAAGGTAGTTTTGGACGTGATCCCTGGAAAAGCGTACATTCATCCTCCAATTTTATTTGAGAGTTGACCTTGGCTCTCTGAACCTGAGCCACTGGTGGATTTTTTTTAGTGATCCTAATCACTGAGACATACGCAAACGGAAAACACCCCCTCACTAGGTTGTTACCACCCCAACATCCAGTATTACGAGAAACAAACCAATTTTCGAGAGTACATATCAATCTGCTCAGAATACTTGTTGTAGCAAATGTCACTATCCATTCCAGAAAACAGAGAAGAAGTCTAAATAATTAGAACAAATTTCAATTCCAAACCCAGTCAGCATCTTTACTCGTTCTCTCTTTCCTGAAGCGAATCCATCGTAGGAGGAGCAGTGGTCCTGCCACTGGTCTTTGTTTTCTTGCGAGATGTTTTTCGAGACGCCGAGGTGGAGGAACGAGAGTCTTCCTCGAGTTCAGCGACTGACGTCTGACTCTTTCGTTTCTTGGCTTTGAGATCAGTCTCGGGATGCAACAATGGATGCTTTTTAGGGAAATCGTTTTTAACGCGTTGAAGAGACTCCGTGGACCAGTCAGTAGATTTAAGAGCGTTGTTACACTGGTTGATCATCCAGGTGCCAGATGTCAGCCGTTCCCTGTTTCGTAGAACTCGTAAGGCTGTGTTCTGTTCTACAAAGCGTTGACGCTTTTTTTCATCGTGGATGCCGCTCAGGATATCTTGTAGGTCACCTGTGGCATCCGCAAGGGGGGTCTGGTTCGTATCTCGAAGCTAGGGTTTGTTCAAAATCGACGATGAGGTCACGGAAAGCGCCAGGAAGAAATTCAGCGTCATCAGTCAGATAATGTGATTTAAGCGCTAGCCTCTTGCCATTCCCTGCTGTAGTATAACCCTCTGCTCGACGAATAAGCGTGTCATACGTATCAGCAAGATGCTTTCCCAATTCTTCGAACGGTATGCCATGTCTGGTCCATTGCAAGGCAGTCCAACTAAGAACGTGGAATAATGACTCGAGATCATCTTCAAGCTTGTGACAAGGAAATTTCGTGTCAAGAAGAGCTACGGAAATGAATTGCCAAGTTCCCTGTAAGCGGACGAATATCAGCAAAACATCAAGGTGATAGAACCTAATACTCACCGTACGCTCAGCCTGGCGAGGCTGACCAAGCTCACTCAGAGGCTTGGAAAGCTCCCAATCTCCCAGAAGACCACGTCCATCTTGCGTGATAAGAATATTTCCTGCACTAACGTCGCGATGAAGTAGCTTCGCTTTAGTGTAAGCATCGTCATGGGCTAAATAAGACATGGTCAGCACTGACTATGAGTCTACAAAGATTTATGAGTCGGCTCACCTATCAGGGCATCACGCAAAACGGAAACCAGTTCCTTCGTATCGAGGAAATCGGTGATATTGCCTCGACAAACTTCCTTGATTATGAGGCGATAATGAATATGCGAGCGAATTGGTTGACCATCAGGTTTGTGCGTTCGATGCACAGGAGAGTCAGGATTGACGTTTCCAGCTCTGAGACAGGTAGGAATGTTGCGAACGCCGTTCTTCTTCAGTATCTTGTAAACTTGCCCTTCAGGCGTAATTTGTTCCGAGTCTACGCGCCAGCAGTCTTTCAGCATAACAGCCTTCTTACGACGAGGATCCCACACTTTGATGATACGGGTAGCTCTCCCGGTAATGGACTCGGTAGCAGAGAAGACGATTTTGCCACCGTAGTAGGTAATCGGTCCGTTTTGGGCTTCTTCGGGTATCTCTTGCTCTTCAGGCGTTATCGAAGCGTCTTCCTTTTGGAAGTCAACACTACCCGTTGGTTCTGGTCCACTCCCCGGATCATCGTTCCACACCTTGAACGCAAAGATAGGCTCGTCGACTTTCATCTCCAATTTCTCTCGTG